GAATTGCATTTAAAAAAAAAAAAACCGCAGAATATTAAACATGATGCATATTGTAGCGCCCCGTTCGATTTATAGAATTTCTCTGATTATTCTATTAATCGAATCTTATTTATGAGGTTATATTTATTGGTCGCGAGGTACTTAAATTATATGTTTAAGTATTCAATCGTTTTATTGTAAAACTTTCGTCGTTCGACAATTTCGGTTTAATCGCGTAAATCGGACCTAACCCGTTCGATTATTAAATTTTATGAGTTTATTTGGATTTTATGTGATTATATGGAATTATACTATTTTGGCTATATATGAGTATTCTTGATTAAAGCCATCATATTATATTGTCTTAAAGATGATATAATGTTCCATTCGATTTAATTTAATTAAGTCGTTTAAAAATTCGGTTTAAAACGGACCAAGGATCAATTTTTATCCTCGCATATTGACCGAACCGAGCCAAAGTCAAACCGGACACTTAGAAATATTTTCTAAGTCATTTGGCCCTAAAAAGTACACCAGGCAGCGCTCAGCCTGCGCTCAGCCCACTCAGGCCCGCGCACCCCTGCCCAGGCCCACGCCATTGCAGCCCGCAGTGCCATAGGCCCGTGTTGGGATCTGTGAGGATCTCGTTATGTACAAATCACGAATTCAATAGCAAACGTAAACCTATGCGCAGCGGATCTAAAGGTTTGACGTAGAGAACTTACGGCTTAAAATTATGTAGATCTGGTTGACCACGAACGGTTGACCGCAATCGATTGACCGCAAATCACGTCTTGGGTTGCGCGAACAAGATTAGATCAAAACCGGATCAAACGGATGCAAACAGATCAAAACGAAAATTGCTGCCAGGCACCTTCCGGCGACGTCGGCAGCGATGGAAAGCTCTCGTCGAGACGGTCGTCTGGGTATACTGTACGTCTCAATCGGACTTTCGGTTAGTTCTGTAGGTCAAAATATATTTCGTCTCGGTTTACCTACAGATCTTCTACTGTATTACTCAATACACCCTTCTTCAACTTGTACCAGTGGAGCAACAAGAAGAAGATAAAGCTCGAATGAGATCTAGAGAGAGAGACGTGTTTCACGTGAGATGTGAATTCTCTTCTCTTCTCATGAGCTTAATGATGTATATATAGAGCTACAGTAGGGACCCTAAGGAGATTAGGAAAAGGGCTCCTTAATTAATTAGACTAACTGCGGGCCAAGCCCACTCCTCTAATTAATTAAATAATATTAATGGGCCACCAACATTATATTATTGCACTCCCTCTTCCTAGCCCAAATTACATTTGAGACTCCAATAATAATTATTCGATTTACCTCCCCACGTTTAAGATATAATGTCCATGAATTAATTCGATTACTGACAATCAAGAATTAATTAATTTAATATTATTTCACCGAAGCTAGCGCTCGTTCATTACATTCTTATTATGCCGGAACTTAATCCACCTGCAGGGTTTAGCATAACAATCCTTCATGAACTCACTCCGGGGACATCATCAAACTAACGCACATGGTGACCGTAAATATATCCTAACAGCACATCCTATATATAATAATATTACCAAAACAGTAGGAATATTAATCCAGCGAACTGAACCTCACCCATGTGAATCAAAGTAATATATATTATATATATCTGCCTGTTTAATATCTTACGGGTTAAGAGAACGCAGTAATTAACCGAGGCCTAGTTCATTTACGACGATCAGTATAAAATGAACTTCTCCTCTCTGGGATCCTGTTCAATACATAAATGTACTAGCGCAACTAATCAGTCAAGACAAACTGTACAGTTGACACTACAACCGTTCGGATGGGGTGTTCATGTCCATCTAGGTTGTGAACAACTATTCTTGTTTCGCAAGTAACTGACAGAGTGATCTTCGGTTTGCCCGATGACGACCCACCCTATCTAAGTGCAGAACAACAGAACGTAGAACTTGTTTAATCTAACATGATTCTCATTCATAAAGGGTAAATGTGTAATATCATGCAAAGCCAAGCTTTCAGTATATAACACTAACAGCCCGAGCCAGTGCAGCCCGCGCCCGCGACCAGGTCCGCGCACGGCCTAGCGCCTTATATGGAAGGTTAGCGCGACCCCAGCCCTATTTAAACCGTTCTTTCCCCTCCCCAAGCCTCCTAACACCCCTCCCTCTCATCTGGCTAGCCGCCACCCTTCTTCTCTCCCAAAAGCCCCTCCACCGCACGCCACCGCACCCGCGCACCCCTAGCTACCTGCAAAGAATCCCGACGCACACGACGGCCAATCCCTCGGACCTCCAGCCCTTGTTCGAGAGCCCCACGACCCGCAAAGAGGCAGCCGCTGTCGTCCAAGGCGCATCCGACCTCCAGCGAGCCGAGCCCCGCCGACGAGCCGTCCCCCGCGCGCGCACCGAGCCCGATCTCGTTTCCCTTGTACTCCTTTAAGTGCAAGGACCCCGAGAACGGTACTTGATGGCTGTACCCTCTCCTTAATTTCGAATTTATGATGTTATGGCGCTGGTCCCTCTTGATTTGTATGGAATTGATGATTTATGTGGAAATTTTGATGAATATATGTTAGTTTGATGATAATTAAATGAGTTCTTGTTAGATCCGTGTTCAAAACGTGAAATCATGTGGAATATAGAACCTAGGAACATCCTTAACCTTTTGAAAAAGGTTTGGGACGATTTGGTCGAGTATAAATTGAGTTTCGAATTTTTGAATTCAATCTAGATTTGGAATTTTGAAAAATCGAGATCTAATTCAATTCTCGGGATTTTGATCTAAAATTTCGAGGGATGAACGCTCTGTGGATTTTATATCTTGTGTAAAAATTTCAAGTCTAAATTTGATCTATAACCTGTTGAACTGAGCATTTTACTTTCTGGTCAGAATGTTGTTAAATTCATTTAAAATCGAGTTTTGGTTAATTTGATTTGAATTTCTGGATTTGTAATAT